GAGGAGGCTGAGATCTGAGTTCAAAGCCAGCCTGGGCAGAAAAGTCTGTGAGATGCTTATCTCCAATAAACCACTAGAAAACCGGAAGTGGTGCTGTGGCTCAAACGGTGGAAGGCTGGCCTTGAGCTGAAGAGCTGAGGGGTAGTGCCCAAGCCCAGAGTTCAAGCCCCACAACCAACAAAAAAAGAAAAAGAAGTCATAAAGTCAAATGAATGATAAACTGAAACATTAATCAATCTCTAGATAAAATAAAGGAGAATACCCTGAAAGCTAGAAAAAGTGGATTCTAAGGTAAATTAGAAGGACTGAAATATTAATGGAATTTATTTTGTCACCTGATGACAAAGGATAAAAGACAAACAACTTCCAAAGATGATAAATTGCTAACTCATGTAAATGAAGTCTAAGGAAGTCAAAAGTGCACTAAGGTAGCATCCCTAACCATTGAGTCAGACCACAAAGAAACCTCAAGGCCATCTCTACATAGAATATAATATGCTCCTCTGCAAGACCATATGTCAGATCCCTTTTTTTTTGGTACTGGGGATCAAACCCAGGACATAGGCAACTGCTTTTTTTTTTTTTGGGGGGGGGGGAGGGGGGAGGTCCGGTCGTGGGGCCTGAACTCTGGGCCTGGAAGCTGTCCCTCAGCTCTTCAGCTCAAGGCTAGTGCTCTACCACTTGAGCCACAGCACCACTTCTGGCTTTTTTCTTTCTGCTTATGTGGTGCTGAGGAATCGAACCCAGGGCCTCAGGTATGCAAGGCAAGCGCTCTACCACTGAGCCACCTTCCCAGCCCCATGTCAGATCCCTTTAGTCAATCTGAAATTGATTTTGGAGAGCAATTCCACTGATGAAAGGAATATTAGAGAAATATAATCTGTCTACCAATCTGCTGAACCAGTTCTAGGCCAACAGAGGGACAAAGTACAGAAAGGCACTCGCAACTCAAAAGTCATTCCAACCCAACACAAAAATGAAGAGACTCACAAATCTATGGAGTCCTTTTTTCTTCCCACCACCTCGCTGAGTATCTAATATCTACAGGGCCCAATAACGGCTAACAAGCTTCTGCTCTGTAAGGATAATTATCTTCCAGAGTTGTTAAGCTAATTAAAATTAGCCATTTATACCACTGTGAGATTGACAAATGGGGATAACAACAAATGTGGCAACAACAAATCTCAAAAGGTGACAACATCTGTATTGACATAGTCTGGAATGTATAGGACAGATCAATATTATTTTAACCATATGGTCATTTTACCGAGAGATCAGATAAAGGTCAAACCCCCAAAACAGAAGGAAATTCAAATGAATCCACAACACAAACATACATATTAGTTTGGATTAACTGAATACCATTCGAATCACGTCAATGAAAATATTTGTTTTAGAGTAAGTATGCTAACCTAATTGCTGTTAAATTAGAGTAAGTTTTAGTTTTTAGTAAGCACAAAGTCTGGTAATCCCATACATACGCTAAAATCATTCTTTTAATGGAACTAAGCACACTACACACGCTAAAATCATTCTTTTAATGGAACTAAGCACACTACAGAAACTAAGTCTTTACCAAATAAGTGTATGCACTTTGTATATTTAATTAATTTACCTTTGGTAATTTAATTACAATAGTCATTTTCATGGTGTATTTTTTTATTTTAATTACTTTTTTGATACTGGCCCTGGAATTTGAACTCAGTGCCTGGGTACCTTCCCTGAGCTTTTGTGCTCAAGGCTAGTACTCTAACACTTGAGCTACAGCTCCACTTCTGACTTTTTAGTGTTTAAATGAAGAGAAGACTCTCAAGGACTTTCCTGCCCCAGAATGGCTTTGAACTGTGATCCTTAGATCTCAGCCTGGTAAGCAGCTAAGATTACAGGAATGAGCCACAGAGCCCAGTTAATTTTATTGAAAACTGCACTGAATGCTAAACATCTACCTTTATAATAAATAAATATAGTAATGGAACCAAAATAAAAAAATACTTCTGAGAGTCATTATTTTTCTGTTTGGGACAGTTTAAATTTTGTCTTTTGTCATAGAAACAGGAATGTACCTATACAAACACTCCAAAGAGGCCACCTCTTTAAACAAAACATCAACAACAACAAAAAAGATTTAGCAGTGTTCATTTAAATCACCAATTATTTCATATCAATGATCTCATCCAATGTTTCTTTTGCTCCTTGATTCCCAGAGAAAGTATTACTGTAATTAGCACATTAACAATCTGGATCTTTCTACAACAAAACCAGGAACCAACTCCACAAGCACAAAGAAATGTACAGATTCTCATTAAATAAGAAGCAAACTATAGGATAATAGCTCTGCACGTAGATTCCAGCCTGCCAAAGGACAAAACATGGAAGCCAATAGCAGAGAGAGGGGACTGAAATCAGGACAGGGAGTGGAAATGAGGACAGGGTAGTAATGGGGGTCAGGAGGTGATAACAGTTTAGAGAGAGGCAGATGTTCCAATGGCCAGCAAAGAGCTGATAACTATGACTTCTATGACATAGCACTCCCATAAGACAAAGATCCCAGTGGTCATTGTTTCTTCTCAGAACACTGGTTTCCAGTTTTCCAGTTAGCACATGGCACACTCTGTGAGATGCTGCCGCATACTGACCTGTGTCTAACACACACTGACGGAACTAGGGGATTATTAGGATACCGGATATCCAAACACTGCCAAATTGTGAACCCACAGACATAATAAAAGTGCAGGCAACAGCAGCATTACAAGCTGAAAGAGTGATAGAAACTTTGCTCCACACAAGCTCATGTATCAACTAGAACATAAAAGCCTGACAACCTGAGGCAAACTATAAATTCTTTTTTTTAAAGAACCAGGGAATAATACATCCTAAAAACCATAGCAATTCTTCCCTTCTCTAAGTATGCCCAAACATTAAAAGGCCAATGATTTAAGGTTAAGGGAAGATGGAAGCAATAAATTTATTATTTTAGTTTCCTTTTAAGTGAGAAACCATTTTAATTTAATAAGAAATAATTAGGCATATATGCTCTACAACACAGACATTACAGGAAGATAAAAAAGAAGGGAAGTAAATTAACCACCACAAGGCAAACTCATAAATCAGACAACAGCCATAAAAGCATTCATTCCTAGATAGAAAGCTAACTTACAAGTACCTCCAAATGACACGGCTATGCTTATTAGTCTCAGGAAAAGAAGAGAACTGGAATGATGCCCTGCTTACCTCTACTCAAGTCGTCATATAGCTACCAAGCCAGGCAGCAAGTTACTAATGGAAAAAATTCCAAGGGAATATATGAAGTACTAGACAACTGAGCATTTGACTACAAACTGGCCATGGCATCTAGCAGGCTGGTTCTAGGACTGTCAGACATAGGAGTAAATAAGCACATAGCACATATTCTGTATAACTATTCAGGTAGACAGAGGATGGCTAGGACCTCCAGTAAAGCATTCCAGTGAGACAAACATCAGGAGAAAGTTATCGAGTGATACTTCCCAATAGTACTTAAGTTTAAATGTATATTTAAAAAAAAACTTTAAAGAAAAGCTAATGTGCACTTATATACAGCCACAGAATTTAAGAACTTCAGAAGGAACTCGTCTTAAAATGTAACTGTCTTTTACAATACCCATGAGCTATTACTTAAATCAACTAAAGTTGTTTTAAAAAAAAAAAAAGCTTAGTAGGAGAAGCAGGACTCAACTCTCTCCAGAGTTTGCTCAATGCATTTTTTCCACCCAGGGAAAGTGACCTTGAAAACTGGTTGGATGACTAAGGTACAATTTTCTTGGTCACCACAATGGCCATACACAGACAAATATGTATACAGTAGTCACTTCCATAAAAGCTAAGTCCATCTAAGGAGAGGAGAAGGAAAGCCATAAATTTAAAAAATTAACATTAAATTATAAGGCTGAACTTTAAAAGTTAACATTACATTATAGAAGTTCTTGATTTAATTTTAGTTTAAACAAATAATCTATTACCTCAGTCCTAGTGAAATCTACTTATTGTGTAGCCTAAATTTAAAATGTGAGGCCAAACAGAGCTGGAAAAGTACAGCTTTACCCTTGTACTTAATTTATACCATAGTGTACTGTAATTAAGCCTGAAATAAAAGCTATATTCTGAGTGAAGACAAAAAGCTCTTGTTAATGACATTCCATTCCCAATGTAGAATATAACAAAAGCCTTCTTTATCTGGAGCCAACTGTCATTATACTTTGTAGCTTGTATGGAGCTATTGGACTAATATTTGCACTGGGATTAGTGTTGGGATAACCAATCAGTTAACTCCTCCACCACAGTTTTCTATTATCCTCAAATAAATGACCAAAGGAAAAAGAAAAAAATTGGCAGGCAGAACAATGACCATATTTATGAGATTAAACTCTCAAACCCTTCACAGTTTGCTGGGCAACTAATAATCATTTGCCAAGCTGTTCATTTAATAATGAGTCAGTTAAGCCTAAAGTAAATGTTCCTTTAAACCAACCAATGCTACTCCATCATATCCATACTGACAGACTCCGATCAGTAGCATATATCATCTCAAGTGAAAAATACAAGTTACCATGTAAGAAAACCAAACTCTGGAAAGCTAAAATGTCGAACCTTCTAGTTTGAGGGCCAGGAGTTTGACCTCAAACTCTGTGGTCAAAAAAAGTCACATGTCCCCAAGCCATCCTGCACAATGTGCCTCCACTGGTATATAAAATGGAATGTCAACACCAAGACCACTGAAGTTTTACCCTGTGAAAAATACTGTTCATCACAGCCAAGAAAAGTATAGAAAGTACAAGACAATCACAAGGCATGGAATCATTAGTTATGCAGGAGGAGGAAGTGCTGTGGCTGTTCCCAAGAAATACATATATCAAAGAGAAGTCCACACCCACGCATTCACCAGCCATGGCTCTACTCATCATCTCCACATGCACAGATGTCACAAAGAGCAAGCAGCAGGATTCCCCTTCACCTTAACTTACTAGTAGTTCATCCATACTGGTCTGGCATTTTTCCAAGTTGATCCTCTTTATTGCTACACGTTCTTGCCTGGGTTTGCACAGGGCAGCCTGGACCACTGCTGTAGCGCCACTTCCTGAGAAAAAAATAAAAACAGTATTTGTGGTTTTCTTTCATAAATAAATACCTTCTTAAGTCCCTTACTTATGACATGCAAACACTACTATATGGCATCTCTTTCTGAAAAGAGTTTCTTAAGTCTTCAAGTAATTCTCTGGAGGAAAAAAAGGGCAGTCTCAACTTTTCCAGTGGATATATGTCTGAGGACACAAGAACAACAGATATAAACAGCCTGCGTGGGTGCTGTTGCCATCCTTGTGTCCTGATCACTTTCTAACTGCAAAGCCTTTATATTTCAGACGCTTGTCCCATGTCAGCCAAACCACTTCTGGTTGAGCACTTCAGAGCTTTCAAAAGCTGCTAGGCATCTTATCTCTCCTAAGCACTCTCAGAGCTTATTTCTTCTGCACTTGCTCTACAATTAGAAAAACAGAAATCAGCCCTAGTGCTCTCATGCTGAAAGCACAAATTTCAAGGATGCTAAGCAAAGTGGTGCAATGTATTGTTACCAAAACTCTTGGCATTTAACGAATTTCTTATTTCTAAAGTTTTCTGAGCCTTAGCTAACACACTCAAACTCCTAAAAGATGATCATGTCATTATCATGTTTTACAAGAACAAAATATGAACATGCATTCATCTGTGGCTTACCCCAAAGAACTACTAATCAAATTTATACTCTATAGGGGGTAAAGACCACTAGGTTAAGATATCTCAATTCTACATAAAATACTTACAAAAATATCATTCTAACCGCATAAATCTTCTACCACCCTAAGATAGTGAATAAGAAAAAAAAAAAAAACCTGTGCTCAGGATCCAGATTTAAAATCTAACTTTCTCCTCAAAGATTTTCTTTGGGTAACAATTCTCTAATCAATCCTTGGATAAGGGAAGGAGAGACTTTTGGCAATAGGAAAATAGATCAATATAGTTTCTCTAATATATGTAATAGGAAAGGATGCTTACAATGAAAACAATGACTCACACCCCAAGGAAGCATCCAAATGACTGTCCATGGGGCTGAAGTTCTACACTTACTTTTTCCTCTGGCATCCCATCAGCTAGCTCTCAGTCTATGATCTATTGAGCATAGCAGATTACCTTAGTGCTTCTAAACCTAAGTCTCCAACTCAAGACTCTACCTCAGGAAAGCTTAGTTTGTGTTCACCTAGAAGGAAATCCTTGTATATTGACCACTCAGAGACCAGCAGGCACTTCACTCATCGAAGTTTCTTTAGAATGCTTTACATTTGGATTATTAACTTCATTTTTAAAAACATTTTAAGCAGTTGTACAAAGGAGTCATCAGTTAACAAAGCAGTTTATGAATACAATTCATCTTGACCAATGTCATTCCTTTTTAACATTCTCACCCATCACTCTCAACCAACTCCTCTCACTTCTCTTGATTTTGTAGGATATACACTAAATTATTTATTTCCTTATTTATTTATTTGGTCAGCTGTAGGGCTTGAACTCTGAGCTTGGGCGCTGTCCCTCCAGTACTCTACCACTTGAGCCTCAGTGTCACTTCCGGTTTTCTAGTGCTTTATTGGAGATAAGAGTCTCACAGACTTTCCTGGCCAGGCTGACTTTGAACCGTGATCCTCAGATCTCAGCCTCCTGAGTAGCTAGGATTACAGGCCTGAGCCACTGGTGCCTGGCTACACTCAATTCTTGACTGCATTCTCCCCATGACTTCTCCTCTTAATTCCTCTACCTATTTCACCTTGTCCCAACACCACCCCTTTCAAGTACCTGCTTCCTGCTATTTTTATTTTGCTGAACTCTGATTTGGGCTTTCTAGGGAGTTACATTATTTGAGATCTCCCTTTAATCTACTGTAATTCAGTTAATACATCTGTATACATTTGCCTACCATGCAACGAATTTACTTACTAGTTTGTCAGCTAAATAAAGCTTGTACCTAAAAGGGAAAACATGCATCCTTTTGTCTCTCTGGGCCTGACTTACTTCACTTAACATAATTTTTTCCAGGTCTTTCCATTTCTTTACAAATAGTACAATATCATTCTTTCTAATGGATGAGTAAAAGTCCATTGTGTATATATACCGTATTTTCTTGATCCATTTAGTCCACTGAGGTGTATTTGGATTGATTCCTACCTTGGCAATGGTGAACAGTGTTGCAATAAACATGATTATGCTGGCAGCTCTACTATATCCAGGTTTGTAATTTTTTTATCTTTTTTGACTTGTAAATATCCAGGAGTGAAATTGCCAGATCATAGGGCAGCTGTATGTTTAATATATTGAGGAACCTTCACACTGCTAGTTGAGCAAGGTTACATTCCTACCAACAGTGTAGGAGTGCTCCCTTTGGTCCATACCCTCATCAGCATATATTGTTGTTTTCTAGGTAATGGCTATTCTAACTAGGGTGAAGTGGAATCTCAACAATGTTTTTATTTGCATTTCCTTTATGGCCAGAGATGTTGAGCATTTCTCCATGTTTCTATTGGCCATTTTTACTTCTTATTCTGAGACTACAAAAACATGGGCTTGAAGACAATATCTTCAACAAATGGTGCTGGCAAAACTGGGTGTCCATATGCAGAAAAGTTAAAGTAGATCCTTAAATATCACCTTGTACCAGCATCAATTCAAAATGGAGGAAAGATCCCAATGTAAGACCTGAAACCATGAAATTATTACAGGAAAGAGTAGGAGACACATTTGGGGGCTCCTGGGCACAGGTAGGTACTTTTTTAGTAAAAACTGGAAAGCACAGTATCTCAAAGAAAGACCTGATAAATGCAACTGCATCAAGCTGAAAAGTTTCTGCATGACAAAGGACTTAGTCAACAAGCTAAAAAGACAGCCTATAAAATAGGATAAGATTTTTACCAACTAGATATCAGACAGTGCCCTAACATCCAGAATATATAAAGAACTTAAAAACGTGAACCCTCAAAACACCAACAACCCATTTAATAAATGGGCTAATAAGCTAAAGAGAGTCTTCCCAGAAGAAAAATTACAAATGGCCAATTAACTTCATTTTATCTGTGAGAAAACTGGAATTTGGAAAACTTGCCCAAGGTCATATCACTAACAAGTACCTAGCCAGCAATCTGCATCAGTCTGCCAAACTCCAACACCTATGCTTTGTTTCTACTTCCCAAAAGCCAGAGCATATCCTTCCCATCATTAGTGATTATATCTTGCCAGAAAACTGTTTTCTTCAGTCCTAAATGATTTAATAAAAGAAAACATACTTGAAGGGAAAATCCAAATAAACTCCTTCCTTCTTAAGAGGTCAGGTGATGAAGAAAGTGCTTTCATCCGTTTGTTCGACCTGGTCTTCTTCTCCCTAACTTTACCTCTGGTTCCATCAGCTACTAGTCACAACTCCACCAGGTTGTCCTCTCTGGCCCAGCAGAATTTTAGATTCAATCCAGAATATTCCAGATACCCCAACCAAACACTACAAAGAGTCCTGCTGATAGAAAAGTGTGTTTTCCAGTCTCTAGCATAAGAGACTATCACTAAAGTGAGCCACAGAGAAAGTGCTAAGGAGCTGGTTAGCAAGGGGCCTGGTATCCAGTACAGAAATCAGCAAACATTTTTAACTAGCTGCTTATAGAAAGCCATTTTCAAACTTGATACAAACACACACACACACACACACACACACACACACACACACACACACACACACACACACACACACACACACACACACACCAATTCATTGTTCCATCTTTAATCACAGTCCATAGTAGTTTCAAATCAGATAAATCAAAGGATTGGGGGTGAGGAATCTCCCCAGAAGAACAGGCTTATATTTTTTCATAGTCCTCATAATCCATTAAGACCTTGACTACTAACGGTCCCTGACTTCCACTAACACATGCATGAAGTAGAAATTCTAAAACCAGAGGAAGGGGTGGAGAAAAAAGTTCTACAGCTACAGATTTGTTAATGCTCTACAATTACAGCTGACTAATAAACAATTGGCACTCAGAAAAAGTAAACATAAAGCTACATGGCCTGAGATGATTGTTACAACATGAATGAATTTAAAAATCCATTGAATGCTCTGCAAGATTCCACTTCTGGATCCAAGGATTGGATTCCTATCAACTACAAGAAAAATCAGGGGGGGCTGGGAAGGTGGCTCAGTGGTAGAGTGCTTGCCTTGCATGCCAGAGGCCCTGGGTTCGATTCCTCAGCACCACATAAGCAAAAAGAAAAAAGCCGGAAGTGGCGTTGTGGCTCAAATGGTAGAGCGCTAGCCTTGAGCTGAAGAGCTGAGGGACAGCGCCCAGGCCCAGAGTTCAGGCCCCATGACTGGACCCAAAAAAAAAAAAAAAAAAAAGAAAAATCAGGGGGAAAAAAAGCAAAGGTAGAGAGTACTGAAAAGGCCAAGTCTACTCCCTACTTTCTGGATGAGGAAATGAAGTCTGGATTCTCCCCTCCCCCCACCTTCATCCCTCTCTCCCTTTGTCCATCCTCTCTCCAGCTCTCTCTCCATCTTCCCCCCCCTTCTCTCTATCTCAAAAGAGAATTCTCTGTTGTTTAGGCTTATACTGATCATCCACCCTGCTGACCTCACTTAACTTCTTCACTTCCACAAAGGCCCTGTCTCTAAATTGTGGCTTTGACATGTTTTAGTGGGACATAAACATTCTATCCCCACAGCTCTCTCTTCATCTGTGTTAATGTCTACCTAGGAAATCATCTTGTAGAAGGCTTTTTTCCCCATTTCTAACAGGAACAGTAATCTTCGGACCTTTATTATCTTGTGAAATACCTGCCACATGGTAGGATTTAATTACTATTTGTTATTGAGTTAATATATGCAAACATCTTTTGTTGTCATTTATGCCTCAAATTTTCTTGCAGTAGGTAAGTCCATTTTTTTCATAATAGATGGATAGGTAGTGATGTTTCAAGAAGATGGTTACTTTGGTAGTCTCCAAGAACACTGGTTTTGTATAACAGATGTAGCCCTAAATTAAGCAGGACATATGGGCCCTACCATGTCAG